GGTGGCAAGCATAAACTCTATGCCTTAAAAAAGGAAAGACTGTGCTGGAGAACCCACACAAAAAGACTCCCTCCTTATACTGCAGAAACTCCTCCTTCTAGACCCATCTGAGCCCTCATGGCCCATAGTGCACCTCTCCGGATCTCCTGAGATTCCTGTTCTGAGTAAGGGCCCTGGGTCTCCCTGGAAACCACTGCTACCAGCTCTGTTCCTGCCCTCAGCTTTTCCTCAGAACACCAGCTCTGCCCTCCCGAGTCTAACACAGCCCTTCCCTCTCTTACCTGCCTCCTTCATGGCCAACTCCGAGTCCTTCTTGTCCTTCCTCTTTTCCTGCTGAAGATTCTCCTGATTCTTCCACTCCTGCACCTTTGCTGAATGTTCTTTCTTGAGAAAATAGCCAGCCCCTAAGCTGAGGAGCATCAGCATGGTCAGGCTCACCACAAAAACTGGCATCCAAGGAAAAGAAGCCTGAGGGAAAAAGGGCTCTGCAGCCCGGCCAGAGACACAGTCAGGGCACATTGCAGGCCAGCCCAGCCCAGCAAAATAAGAGACCCTGGTCTCTTCCCTCCAGCCCTGCAGGGAGCAGAAACAGTGCTGACCTGGGATGAAAATCGCCTTCACCTTCTCCTGGTCCAGGATGGGGTTAAAGATGGAGCAGGTCACGTTCCTTACAGAGCTGTCTCTCACCACCAGCGAGGCCTCCACACTAAACAATCCCTCAGCATCTTGAGCATAGGACTCAGAGAAAGCCAGGAACTTCTCTCTACTCGGGCCTTTCCACTGAACCAGGGGCTTCGGAAACCACCCAGAAGCCATGCACACCATGCGGATTCCATCTTCCTCTGGTCCTTCAATGTACACTTGAGGGTCAGATCCCACACCTGCAGGAAGGAAGCTGTGGAGTCAGAGTGGCCACCTTGTCCCAGGTGCAGTTCTGGGATCTTAGAAGTGTGACTCACAGGGACTAAATTCTCTTGCATTCAAGGTTCTGTGAGAAGGTCTGAGTCTTGGTGTGACAATGTAGGATAAACACTGGACTGCTAACACCAAGGTCAGCAGTTCAAACCCACCAGGCACTCCTAGGAAATCCTATACAGGGTTGCTATGAGTCAGAACAGACTCAAGGTCACTCAATAACAACATGGGAAGGTCACCCCCTAGTGATGGTTAGACTGAGTTCTCACCAAATGGAATCTGAGAAAGAGCATAAGGACTCTTTGGGGAGCTCTGAGGCTGGATGTTACTAGGCTCTGGTGGCACACTGGATTAAGCACTGGATTGTTAAATGCAAGGTCAGAAATTCAAACCCACCTTAAAGCTTTTCAGCCTAGGAAATCCTATGGAGCAGTTCTCCTCTGTCCTATACTTCAGACTCAACTCAACGGGACTACTCTTCCTAACCTCAGAAGAGAAAAGACTAAGGCACAACATTTTTTAAAAAAGAAGAAATTTAAGTTTATTTTATTGACATGCAGCTCAGGAAACATAAGTCAATAAACAAAACTCAGACCAGAGAAATAATATAGTATCATTACAAAAACTTTTCAAGGGCATAAGTTTAGCTAGGTCCTAAGATTTTTTTTAAACTAAGCTTTTGGTAAATTTATTCTAGTAAATAGGAAATGTTTGAAGTTAAGAGATTTGTGAATTTTGTTCTATTTTGCTTCAATTACTCACAAACTCTTCTTTTGCAAACTGATCTTACTCTCATTTTCTTGTCACATGTCACAAAGTGAGTGAAAATCTTCACTCAAGGATGATTAAGCCTGTGAGCTCCAGAACCTACCGGCCACCATCTCTTCTTCTAAGGCTTGGTCCCATCACTATCACCTCCTTCCCTCTCCTCCTCTCTGCTCACTCTCACCTCTTACTTCCCATACCATCCTTGCTGTTAATCTCTTCCTCTCCATCTACTTCTTCTCCTAAATACATAAACATGTTCAAATTTTTATAGTCTTCTTCCCCTCTTAGAACAGTAAACTTTATAATCCAAAAACACCTCTATGTTCTCATCTCTCACATACATCTCAGTCCCCAATAGTCTGACTTCTCCTACTATTCACTTGAATCTACTCTTGGAGTTAACAACAATCTCCTTCTTAGAATCTCAGCCCTCACACTGCCGCCCATCTTCCTCATCTTTGTGCATGTGATCTTGCTGACTCCATCTTGGCTTGGTGACCATTCCCTTTTGCTTGGTATGTTACTCTTCAGACCACCCTGCTAAGCCTCTTTCCTGGATTTCTCTCCCTCCCCCTACAATTTAAAAGCAGGAGAAGTACAAGGGTTTGGTCCTTGAATCTCTATTCTCACAGCATGCTTCTCTTTGTTCCCACTGCTTCTCTTTGTAAATCACTCCCAAAATTTCCCTCCTTTATATCCACATCCCCATAGGTTACTTTATGAGGATTTCTGACATGCACTTCAAACTCAAAATTACATAACAGAATTCATAATTTTGCCCTGGTGCGGTGCTGTGGTTAATGCAGTAGGCTGCAAAGTCGGTTTGAACTGCAACGTCTGAGGTTCAAGCTCACCAACCACTCCCAGGAAACCCTATACAGGATCACTATGGTTGGAACCAACTCGATGGCACTTACCCACAACAACAAAGGGTAAATTGAATACAAATATAATCCTGTTTTTCATCCTTCTTTAGAGCCAACTCGCCCTTTGCTGTATCACTTTGTAATGCTCCCATTATGATGCTTCAATAGGCCATGGGACTTGATTTGGCCAGTAAGAAATGAGCAAATGTGACACAAGAAAGTGTTTATAATGTGCCATTGGACCTTCTGCTAAAATTAGCTAAACCTGGCCCAGGTTAGTTGAATACTAAAAATGCTCAAGTTAAATATATGTTTGTTGATATATAGTACTGCGATTTTAGAACTGATTGTTATATAGCATTATTACAGTGATAGGTAATTAATACATCATTATTAATGTTCCCACCACTAATTTCTGTGACCCCCCAATTCCACCTACAAACTCTACTGTCCACAAATGTACTCACTCAGCTAAGTCTACTTTCTAAATCTCTCTTCTGCCTGACCCCTCATTTCCCCCTCCACTGCCTGAGTTCACAGTCATCCTGTCCACCTCATAACTACACTCCATGCATCTAGGTGTCCTCCCTGCCAGAGTGAACATTCCCAGTGCTGCTCTGCTTAACGTTTCCTCAGGTCTGCATCCAAACTCTGTAACACAGAACATTACTTGTGGTTGCTGCTGCTGTTAAGTAGATTCAGAATCACAGAAACTCTGTATAGGGTTTCCAAGGAACAGCTGCTGAGCTGGTCCAGTTGGTCCAGTTGGACTCCATAGAACTCCATAGAACAGGACTCCACAGAACACAGAGCCTTCTCTAATTCAGCATCTACCTTCCTCCCCAAAGCCTCCTATCAAATTCCCCCTGCCCCAGCTCCCCCAACTTATCCCCTCAGAGCCTACCTACACTAAGCACCAAGAGCTAACTGGTTCATTGTTATTAAGCACACTGTGCTCTGTGTGCCCCAAAACCTTTTCAAGTTCAGTTGCCTCAATTTGAGGGTTCTTTGGAAGCTTGCCTAATGAACTCAAGTGACCCCAGTATCTGTGCCCCTCTGCAATCTGCACCAGGAACACCATTTTGTCCAGTACTGACCCTCATTCACTCCCACCAGTCATAAGGCCTCACTGTGAGCCCAGAACACAAGAGTCACACTCCCACCTCAGAGTTTTCACTAGCTCTTCCTTCTGCTTGGAATTCTCATGCCCCATGTATTCATTTTGCTAAATCACTACTTTTGTCAAGGCTTTGCTCAGACACCACATTCTCAGTAAGGCCAGGCCCAGTGCCCATTTCTCAGTCCTCACCCCCATATCCTGATCCCCTATCCCTGTTCTACTTTCCCTTTTGTCCTCAGAACTGTTTACCTTCTAATATCATCTATCACCTATTTATTTATTGTGATTTCTCTGTCTCTACATTTAGAATATGAGCTCTACACAACAAGGATCTCTTTTGGTTCACTGATATGTCCCAGGCACCTACAACAGGCTCTGGCACAGATTGTTGTTGTTGTTAAGTGCCATTGAGTCAGTTCCAGCTCATAGCGACCCTGTATAAGGTTTCTGAGGAGCAGTTGGTGAGTTTGACTAACTGCTCACCTTGCTATTCAAACAACCTTGCAGTCCAGTGCATTATCCACAGCACCACACAGATTAGGAGCTGTCTATCATTTACAGTGAATAAAAGAATGAATGAGACTCCTTTTTTGTATCTATAAAATGAGGAACTGAATTAAAGTATCCCTAAGGGTGATCCCAACTGCAGCCCTCCAGGATTCTGCAATATATAGACAACCAACCTGCCACCTTCACCACCAAAGGGGCATCTTCATAGAAATCTCCATTCCTGAAGAAGCAGGTGTACGGCCCATCATCAGAAACCCGAACCTTGTCGATGCGTACAGCAGCTGCCCCCTGAGTGAGGAAGTCTTTCACCAGTGAAGTCCGCCCTTTGTACTGTAACATCTGCTTCTCCTTCTGCTCCCGCTGGTTCTGATACATGAACACCACTTCTGAGAAGACCGACCGGAACCACCGCAGCTCCATGCTCTCCGCATTCATGGCAGGAGACAGGGAGCAGGGCAGTGTGATAGCCTCACCCAGCACTGCCACAATGGGGTCCTTGGGACCAATCACCAGGAACTTCTCTGTGGATACAGACATGGGAATGAGAAAGCTGGAGAGATGCAAGGTGATGGGAGAGAATACACAGTCAACACCTGGCTCCTAAAGAAATAAGAGATGTTCTGATCACAGCATCATGGACCAGAAATGATGTCAGGTACCTGAGAGTCATGTACCTGAACTGCTGGTCATAGGTCCTTCCATGAAAGACCCTGCATTCCATGGTAGTCAAGTTTAAATGTGCGTTTAAGCCTTTCCGATAGCAGTTGAACATTTTAACCACTGCACCACTACAATTTGTTCAGAATCAACCAGTAAACCAGATCTCTGGAACCCACCCCCAAAGTTTCTGATTCAGTAGGTCTAGGAGAGGCAAGAAATGTGCATTTTTCAGGAGTTCCCAGGGTTTTGGAAAGCCAGTGGTAGAATTCTAGCTTCCTTTGAAGATCAAGCAGTTTTGGGTTCATTGTTTATGGGGTCACTATTAGTGAAAGCCAACCTATGGCAGTTAACAGTGAGAACAAGGAGTTACAGAGATTCATATATGCTGGTCCGGGGACAACACTTTGAGAACCACAGCCCCAGCCTGGCCCCATCTCCAGACAGAACTGGATACTGACCTGAGGCCACCAGAGATCAAGGTCTGAACTCTGATCATTTAGTCAACCCCAGGAAATTTCCCACCCCCACTACTAACATTCATTATGTGTGCCCATATCTATCACTTGCACTGAAATATGAGCACTTAAAACTCAGAGTCAAATGTTATTTCTGCCTTCACTCCTCAGGCTCCCAAGAGCAATGTTCACACCTTGTTAAAGAAAAAAAACTTATCACCCTCATCCTTCTGAAGTGGACAAGCTATACCATGACTCCTCTGCAGACCAGGTCCCTCTAGATTCCCAAGTGTCATCTTTCCTACTCCTAGACTCTTGCCTAACCATTGTTCCCACCTGGAGGGCCACAGCAGACTGGTTTCCCCTGTTTGCCCTCATCCCACCTGTCTATTTCCTACAAGGCAGCCAAAGTGATCCTTTTACTGTGTAAGCCAAACCTGTCAGGGTCCCACTCTGCTCAAAGTCCTGGAATAGCTCCCCGTTTCCTTCCAGTGACCCAGAGATCCTATAGAAATGGTAACTAGGACAATTCTAGCCTTGGTTCCAACTTCCCTACCCTTCACTGTCTCTGCTCCAACCAACACTCACTTCTTTGACCTCACTAGGGATATTGTCAGCCTTGCACTGGCTGACAGTTCCTGCAAAAACAGGGACTTTCTCCAGAGATTCTCATGCCCACTTCCCTTCTCCCCCAACTCTTAGTTGACCACCCTACTGAGTACTGCAGCCTGCACACACCCCACTTCCCCTCTACCCACCAATACAGTTCACACTTTCTATACTTTATTGTCCATCACACTAATCTCCTCTAACAGACGATATTTTTCTAAGTTTATTGCATCTAATATTCACAGACTCCTGCTAGAATGTTAATTAGTTAGTTAAGTGTTACTGACTTGGTTCCGTGGGTTTGAACAACAGTTAGCAGTCCAGTGTCACACCAGGAATCTTGCTACAATGTTGTTATCTTCTTAAATGCCGTTCAGTTGGTTCTGACTCCTAACGACCCTATGTTCAACAGAGTGAAACACTGCCTGGTCCTGCCACATCCTCACAACTGCTGCCAGGCCTGAGTTCATTATTGTTACCACTTGCCAATCCATCTCAGAGTCAGGAGGCCCCCTATCCTTTGCTGTCCCTCACACTTTAGTAAGCCTGATGTCCTTCTCCAAGGACTGGTCCCTCCTGATAATATGTTCAAAGTATGAGAAACAAAGTCTGGCCATCCTGGCTTCCAAGAAGCATTCTGGTTGCACCTCTTCCAACACAGATTGGTTTGTTCTTTTGGCAGTCCATGGTCCTTTTAATATTCTCCTCCAACACCATAACTCAAAAGAATCAGTTCTTCAGCTGTCTTCTTTATTCACTATCCAAATACGAGGTAATTGAAAATACCATGGCTTGCGTCAGGCACACCTTAGTCCTCAAACTGACAATTTTGCTCTTCAACATTTTAAAGAGATCTTGTGCAACAGATTTGCCTAATGCAATACATCATTTGATTTCTTGACTGCTGCTTCCATGAGTGTTGATGGTTGATCCAAGAAGGATGAAGTCCTTGACAACTTCAATCTTCTCTCAGTTCATCATGATGTTATTTATTGCTCCCGTGGTGAGGATTTTTGTTTTCTTTACATTGAGGTGCAACCCATACTGAAGGCTCTGGGCTATGATCTTCATCAGTAAGTATTTTAAGTCCTCCTCATTTTCAGCAGGCGAGGTTGTATCATCTGCATATCGCAAGTTGTTAATGAGTCTGCCTCCAATTCTAATGTCACGTTCTTCTTCATATAATCCAACATCTCAGATTATTTGTTTAGCATACAGATTGAATAAGTATGGTAAAAGAATACAATCTTAGTGCACACATTTCCTTATTTTGAACCATTCAGTGTCCCCTTGTTCTATTCAAAGGACTGCCTCCTGGGCTATGTACAGGTTCCTCAGAAGTACCATTAAATGCTCCACAATACTCATTCTCCACAGTGTTGTCCATAGCTTGTCATGACCCACACAGTCAAAGGCCTTGGTGTAGTCAATAAAGCACTGGTAAACATCTTTCTGGTAGTCTCTGTTTTCAACCAATACCCATCTGATGATATCTCTCATTCCACACCCTCTCTTGAATCATATTGAACCTCTGGCAATTCCCTGTGAATGTACTCTAACAGCCATTTTTTAATTATCTTCAGCAAAAAATTTGCTTGCGTGTGATATTAATGATATTGTCTGATAATTTCCACAATCCAGTCGGTCACCTCTCTTTTGAATGGACACAAGTATGGATCTCTTCCAATCAGTAGGTCAGGCAGCTGTCTTCCAAATTTCTTGGCATAGATAAGTCCCATGCTGCATCACTTTGTTGAGAGACTTGTATTCCATCAATTCCCAGAGCCTCATTCTTTGCCAATGCCTTCAGTGTACTTGGGCTTCTTTCTTCAGTGTCATTGATTCTTGTTATATGCTATCTCATGAAATGGTTGAGCCATCTTCTTTTGATGCTTTATGCTTCATTCAATATTTTGCCCAAAGAATTCTTTAGTATTTCAAGTTGAGGCTTTAATTTTTCCTCAGTTCTTTCAGCTTGAGAAATGCTGTGCTTGCTCTTCCTTTTTGATTTTCTAACTCTACATCTCTGCACATTTCATTATAATATTTGACTTTGCCTCCTCAAGCTTACCTTTGAAATATTCGGTTCAGCTCTTTTACCTCCTCATTTCTTGCACTTCCTTTAGCATCTCTATGCTGGAAAACAAGTTTCAGAGTCTCTTCTGACATCCAATTTGGTCTTTTTCTTTTCTCTTCTATTCTTAAAGACATTTGCTTTTTTTCCTCTATGACGTTTTAGATGTCATCCTACAACTCAGTGATTTTATGTTATTAATGTTTAATGCACCAAATCTGTTCTTGAGATGATCTTAAAATTCAGGTGAGACATTTTCAAGGTCATATTTTGGCTCTCATGGACTTGTTTTAATTTTCTTCACCTTCAACATGAATTTCTCTATGAACAGTTGATGATCTAGTCTCTTCCACAGGCTGCCCTTGGCCTTGTTTTGGCTGATGATACGGAGCTTTACCACCATGTCTTTCCACAGATGGAGGCAGTTTGAGTTCTGTGAGCTCCATCTGGTGAAGTCCATGTATATGATCATCTTTCATGTTGTTTAAAAAAGTATTTTAGTGAAGAAGTCATTGATACTGAAAAAATCTATCATGTGATCTGCATCATCATTTCTATCAGCAAAGCCATCTTTTCCAACTACTAATCCTTCTTCTTGTTTCCAACCTTTGTAGTCCAATCACCAATAATTATCAGTACATATTGATTGCATGTTTGATCAATTTAAGACTGAAGTGTCTGAATTCTTCAATTCAACATCACTGGCTTTAATGGTTGGTCTGAAATTTTGAATAATACTGGTATTAATTGGTCTTCCTTGTAGGCACATGTATATTATCTTATCACAGCATTATACTTCAATATAGATCTTGAAATGTTCTTTTTGATGATGAATGTAACTCCATTCCTCTTCAATATGCCATTCTCAGCATAGTAAACCAGATGATTATCAGATTCAAAGTGGCCAATACGAGTCCATTTCAGCACACAAATGCTTAGTATGTCGATGTTTATGAGTTCCATTTCACTTTTGACAACTTCTAATTTTCCTGGATTCATACTTCACACATTCTGTATTCCAATTATTAATGGATGTTTACAGTTGTCCCTTCTCATCTCGCTAACATTTGCTAAAATGTCAACTTTATGAAAACAGTGACTCAATGTTTGTGCTATTCACAGAGCAACACCTAATACCCACGCACTACAATCAAGTTGATTTACAGATCATAGCAACGCTGCATAGGGTTTCCAATGCTATAAATTTTGTAGGAAACAGAAAGCCTCATCTTTCTACTAAGAAGCAGCTGGTGAGTTTGAACTTCTGCCCTTGTTGTTAGCAATCCACTGCTTATTGCACAGCACCACCAGGACATTTAACACATATTCCCTAACAATCAAATCCATGGCCATTGAGGGGATTCTGACCCGCTGTGACCCTATATAGGATTTCTGAAACTTTACCAAAGCAGACAACCTCATCTTTCTCCTCAGGAGCTATTCGCAGGTCAAAACTGACCACTTTTTGGTTAGCATCCCAGAACTTAACCCACAGTACCACCAGGGACCCTTAATACTTGGTAGAACATGTCTGTAACACTTGGGGAATAAGGCAGACTTATGCATGCATGCATTATTACATAAGACATTAAAATTGAGAAATGAAAAATACAGAGGGAAAGATGTTTTAAAATATTGTGTAGATAGTTGGGACAAAGTTTCAAATATCTAAAAGGTTCAAGTTGGAGTCATGGTGGTGCCGTGCGATCAACAATGGGCAGCTGATTGCAAGGTTGGTG